TTTTTTTCAAATCATGTGTTATAAATAAAAATTCGCCCTTTATATTATGTACATTAGCTGATTGTTTTGGCCTAAGACATGATAGATAGCTTAATGGTTAAGCAAGTTGTTTTATTATACTCTTTGAATAAAAAATGTATATTAATAATGTAAATTATTGTTTTTTGTTTATGTATTAAAATATGCTATATGTTTTGTAGCACCCCAAAATACTTAAATTGTGATTTATGAACTTATTTTTATTATGAAAAATTATTCTACATTATTCGAATGTTTAAAAAATTATCATTTAGCCTAATGAGTAAATATAATATAAACCTTTAAAAAGTGTTTTGGGTATAAGATCATTTATACAAATTATTTTATAATACGAATTATCTAAAATCCAAGAATAATTATTTTATAAGACGAATTATCATTTCTTGAACGTTGAACACAAGTAAGAAGAAGTGAAAACTCTCCACCACCATAAGGAAAACATATTTCACCCTACCTGAGGACCTCAGCAACCTCAACAGATCATCTACCACGACAACAGTACTTCTAGTAAGACTAGAAGTACACACATCATAATCTTCATCCTTCCAAGCGTTTTTTTTCTTCATACTTTGAGAGCACTCACCAAATAACACTCTAAATTCAATAATTCTTTTAACAAATTAACAATAACTAATAGTTAATAGAGTACATTAAAATAAGTACCTGAACATAGGCCGGCAAATATTGGACATGAGGATGGGCGCCACGCAGGATCTCCATATAACAATCAACGAGTTGAGAATCCAACTCGTTCCCGAGCAAAAGTGCGCATATCGATTTGCCTCGGACCAAAATGTGGTCATTGCTCCACACACTTTTGCTACAAAAATTTGTAATTTTAATTAGTATAATATAACAGAAATTAAAGTATTTAAAGTAATTTCGGTACCTCAAGTCATCGCTTGCCAGGAAATCCCGGATGGCTGAAAGCTCCTCTTCCTGGACATCCTTATGTCCACAGAAATCATCTTTGCCCCTACAGGGAAGAATCATGATCGACGTCATCTTTGTCAGCCTCCTACATTATAAAATAATCGGTTATTTATATGAAAACAACACGAACAATGACATAAATTACAAGAATAAAATTGTTAGTTTAATTACCTCATCATTACTCAAGCTCACCAACTGCAACTTTTTTTTCTTTCTTCTGCCTCTTCGGACCGGATGACGGAGAGGTCATGAAATCAGCCAGCTTCTTCTTTTTCTTCCTACCAATCCTCTCCCGCACCTTCTTCACCATTGAAGAGGGCTGTGTTTTCTCTGGTTGTCGGGTCGATCTCTGAGCATCAGGGTGCGGATCATTTGACAACACTTTTGAATCCACCCCTCCAATCAAATTAGCAGATTTCTCCCTCAAAGCAACAAACTCAACTACCAGGTTTACGAGTCGGTCCAAATCTTCAAACTCATTCACAACAGCTTTATTTTCAACCATCATCAGAGCCCATCTTCGCTCACTTTTTTTCTCGTCCTCCTTTTCCTCCTCTTTTTCCTGCTTTGACTCCTCTTTTCCCCCTCCTCCTCCTTTTTTTCCCCCTCTTTTTCTTTCTCTTCTTCCTCATTCTCCTCATCTTTTTCCTCAGTCACAAAAACCACCAAAACTATCAGCAGCCTCATCTTTCTCACTTCATTCCTCTTTTTCTTTTTCTTCATCCTTTCTTTCCAACAATTCAATTTTTTTCTAAGTTCGTCGTTCTCAAGGTAAACCATGACAAACAACTGGTTCTCAAACGTTCCCTGTACTTGAAAGAAAAAAAAAATTACAGAAAAACATAAATTAAAGATACTTGTACCTATGAAAATATATTAATGCTGAATTCAACATAAATTCTCGACCAAAATTACAGAAAACCTGGGTCTCCAAAAGGGAACGCTCGACAACCTCAGGCGATACCGAATACACCTGCAAATTAGATCATAGTGATTTAAGAACATTATGGATTTACCAAAAAATAAAAAGAAGAATAAAGAAAAACATAATACTATAAAACTATATAATTTCCTTATGCCTCATTACTTTCTGAAGGGATTTTAAATAGCCTTCCATTGTAGACGGCTATAATTGCTCCCCGTCCATCGAAATAGACAAGGAATCACCTCGAGCATGGACCGTTTGCCCAGAGAAGGCACACACTCGTACAACTAAGCCTACACATACACATGATTTCAAAATTACACAATCTCACAATTTAATATTATTGTATTAAGACATTGAAACACATATATACATACCATTAGTCCAACAACACATCCATCAAAGTATGATCGGTCTCTCGATTTGGTATGGCGAACAAGCTCGACAACCAGGAATTTATGAGTAGCATCTTCCAATGCGTACTCACAAATTCGACTCACATCCTCTAGGTAAGGGTAAACAAACCTAGGGATCGAACAGCTCGAACAAGGAAACAATATACAACTAAACACAAAAAGACTAAACATCCTGATGAAATCGCCTACACGACCTTCATCGACAACAAACTTTTCTAACAATTCTACCACATGTTTTCTTTCCAAAAGCTTATTATCGACCCGACCCCAACTGTCAAATAGGGCTTTAGACTCCAAACTCAAATCTAAGTCTACACTTCGACCACACTGTCGTAGCCCCATTATGACACAAAACTCAGCTGGATCAAAATTTAAAAACAAACCGTTACCGACAACAACGGCATTAATGTCTGTCTTGTATGTGTTATTATTGCCTCAATTCTACTATATATGTTAAATGCTTATATCAGGCATATTAAAAAAAAGGACTCTGTTGGCTTCTGTTGATCAGACAACACAACAACAATTCGGTCCATCACATTCTTAAAGTAAGGGGGCACATCGACTTCTAAATTAAGTGCCCCATCACAAATTACAAACAGATATAATTTTCAAACATAAGAAAAAAAAAACATCTTCACAAAAATTCGATTGCGCAGATAAACAAACAAAAAAAAAGCATGATGCAAAATGAAAACATTTACAAAAGCTAAAATGGCAGTTATAGAACAAATGAAAACAAAAATCTCCAATTTGGACAATGAATGCAGTTACAAAATGTAAAATGGCACGTTGGCCATACAGTCACTGTTAGTCTTCAACTAAACAGACTTACATAATCTACTATGAATTTGTTATCAAATGAAAAAAAAAGAGCCCCACAATGAAAGAGCAAAGCTGCAGTAAAATCAATTAATTAAGCAAATCAATAATACATCAAAGCGGATAAACTGAAATTCATAACTCTCTAAAGCCCTCAAATTTTCAAACTCAAGAAAAAATGGAACTTATGAAAAAAGCCCTAAATTGAAAAAACCCTTAAAATAAATTATAATTCATAACTCTCAAAAGCTCTCAAATTTTCGAATTCAAAACAAAATAAAAATTATGAAAAAAACCCTAAATTGAGAAACCCTAAAATTCATAAAAACCCTAAACTTAGGAAAAAATCCCTGAAAAATCATAAATTACCCTTGTTAACGCCTTGGTGGGTGTCGAGGAGGAGGACGGTTTGTGCCCGTCGGGAGGAGATTTCTTTTTCGCGTCGGCCATTGCTTCCCGCAGGAGGAGAGACAAACGCACAGAAGAGAGAAGAGTGATGAACAAGAGAGAGAGAGAGAGAGAGAGAGAGAGAGAGAGAGAGAGAGAGAGTGCTGAAACGATCGGAGATGATCGGCGATATAGGGAGGAGATGATCGGCGATGGAATTTTTCGGCCGGGAGAGACGATTTGATGCGATTTTTGAGAGAGAGAGAAAGGGAGAGAGAGAGAGAGACGTTTTCGAGCCGACGGAAGAGAGAAAGAGAGAGCAGAATGAGAATGCATGAGAGAGAGAGAGAGAGCGAGTTTTTTACTTTCAGACA